ACACACACACACACACACACACACACACACACACACACACACACACAATCTCAAGAAAAAGAGATCAAATCTCTTTACACTCTGATTTCTGAGTTCACTATAGACTTTGGTTGTCTTTTTTACTGTTCCCAGGTATGTAGGGAACTAATCTATAAACCACTGAATTTTGATAGCATATTTGAATGTTTGGAAAGCGTACATTTTTATTTCAGTTGCACGTTTCTCTCTGGAGAGCAACATTGAAAGCTCTATTGCTTGAGTGAGCAATGGTGATTTTTTCAAATCAGCAACAAAGTTGTACTGCTTTTATATGTCTAATATCTTCCTCGGTCTAATACGTAGCTGAGAGAGTATACTGTGAATACAGTCTTTGAAGCACTGTGCTGGGGCTATAACTCAGTGGGGTAGAAAACTTTCTTAGTGTGTGCAAAGTCCAAAATACAGTCCATATCCACATATATATAGTCAAATCATTAAATGAGACAGAAATAAGTCATTTTCACTCAACAGAATTTACCTCTGTACCCAGGCTGACTTTGAACTCATGGCAGTCCTTCTGCTTCAGCTTCTGAAATTACAGGCATGAACTGTCAGGCCTGGCTATGATTTCTTATTACTTCTCATTGCTGAGAGACCAAACCCAGGGCCCTGCACAGGCTGTCATGTTTTCAGAGGCTCTCAGATGTTCTTGTGATGTCCGTTGTCTAATGTTTCATAGCAAGAATGGCAAGTAGCACAGAGAAAGACCATACCCAGCCTCATGACCTCATCAGCTTCCAACTCTACAGGAGCGCACACTTTCTCATCTAACAACAGACAGTTTGAAGACATTTATAAAGTTTGTGGTCATTGTGGAATGTGGGCTCATAGAATTTTGCTGACTTGGACTTTGAGAAAATGATTTTCAAGGGAAATAATGTGACTCATATTGAAAGTACAATGTGAAAACTTTCTTTAGATGTTTATTCAAATCTACCAAGGCTGAGATTTCAGGAAAGTCCCTGTGTTCTGCATGAACACTGGATTTCTTCCTTCTTCTTCTGTATTTCATATCCATGACTGCAACAAACTGCTTTTAACAGGTTGGGTCTGATCTTGTGACTGAGGCAAGAAAAATGTACCCTAGAACAATAAAATGTATTAATAGATTTTCACACTGTGATTTGGGAGTAGAATTTAAGATATTTTCATCTATTTCTTTCAAGTATAGTAATGCATATTATAGTAATATTGTTGCAACTTTGTCATAATAATGTAGTTTCAGAACTATCAGCTCAATCAGTGTCCTTCTCCATTTCCTTATCTTGTTGCTTCTAGTAGCCTCAAAGTTGAATCATAATTTATTCAAATCATAATACTTTCTTTTCTTGCTGTAGCATTTAGGAGAAATAAAAACATTTTGAAATTATAAAACAAGGGGCTAAGAGGAAGCAAGGGGAGGAGCAGAAAAACAACAATAAAGTCTTGGCAAAGTCGTATTAGCAAAGGCTTGGACACAGACTCTCTAAGAAGCCAGCTGTCAGCATCCATGACACGAACAAGGCTGTATAAACTCTCAGTCTCCCCAGTATATTCTTATCTAAGTCTTGGTGCATTCATGAAATTTCACGAGCTAACTTCTAGAACCAGCTAGTGTCTTTAAAAAAAAATTATTTATTATGTATGCAGTGTTTTGCCTACATATCAGATCTTATTATAGATGGTTGTGAGCCACCATGTGGTTGCTGGGAATTGAACTCAGGACCTTTGGAAAGACAGGCAGTGCTCTTAACTTCTGAGCCATCTCTCCAGCCCCACCAGCTAGTATCTTGGGGAGGGATTCTCTGTCTGCTCTGCTGCTCTGTAGGGACCATCTGATCCCAGGCAATCACTCAATGAACTTTTACTTTGGTTATTAAACTTTCCTTCTGATCTCTTGGGTCTGTATCATTGCGGCTCAGAGTGGGGACAAAACAAATGCCACAGAGATATCAGGTACTTACCCCAGGCTTGTTGGAGTAGACTTGCTTCCACCAAAAGCCAGAACTGTATGCAGCTAACGAAAGCTCCAGCGCAGTGAAGATGAGCATCACGGACAGAGCACTCTGCAAAGCAACACAGGCCTGCCTGGGACCCCACACTAAGCCTTTGGGGCCCCTGAGAGGAGATGGGGTGGGAGTGGGGTAGGGGCAGGGTGGGGGTGGACATTGAAGCCCTTAGCCGTGGAGACCAGAAGCAGCGGTGACAATGGCTCAGTCCTTCTCTCTGCTCTCTCACTCAGGTTTCTCAGTGATCACACAGAGAAGAGTGACCAGTCATCTACCTGTGCTTGCTTTCACCATTTCCTCTTTGTCCTTGGTGCTGTGTCTTCATGTTGTGTTGGATGTGGATTTGAATTCACCTGCTCTTACAGGGTCTTCCTTGACTTCCTTCAGCATGCAATTTCATGTCTTCAGTTTTTAAAAATTCTCAGGTAATTATATTTTCATAGCTTTCTTTCTCACTCGTTTCTGTTAGAACTCATGTTCATGTTCAACCTTTCCGTGTAACTTCAACCTGTGTCGTTCAGATCTTTCAAATTTGATATGATGTAATGAGATATTTCTTCAGATGCATCAAAGCTACTTTTCTCTGATCTCAGTTTTAAATTTCAATGATTTTTCTTTCTAGTCATGGTTCTGCTTTATCAAGAGCCCCTGTCCTTGGACTTATTGTCCCGTTGCTGTGTTTTGGTTTTGTCTTAGTCAGGGTTTCTATTACTGTTATAAAACACCGTGATCAAAAGCAACCTGGAGAGGAAAGAGTTTCTTCTCCTTCCAGGTAACAGACCATCACCAAGTGACATCAGGTAGAAGCTCAAGGGAAGAGCCTGGAGGGGGAACTGAAGCAGAGGCTGTAGAGGAACACTAAGTACTGGGTTGCTCAGCCTGCTTTCTTATAGCACCCAAGATGGCCAGCTCAGGGGTGGTACCTCCCACAGTGAGCTGGACGCCCCCCCCCCCACCAACGTCAATCATCAATCAAGAAAAATGCAACCACAGGCTTTCCCACTGAACAGTGGATGAGGGCATTTTCTCAGTTGAAGGACTCTCATCCCAGATCACTCTAAAGCTAATCAGAACAATTATGTTTTCAATTATGTTTTATTTACATTTCTAAGACTGTATTTTCATATGTCTTTGTTCAAAAGACTACATGATCTCCAATTTTTAGGCTACTAACCTGCATCTTTTTTCTACCTCCTGCTGCTGCTTTCAGGATTGAGTGTTTTTCTCACGTTTCTAATATTTTATTATGCAGTTTAAGTACACATGTGATGGTGTTCATGTGTGTTTTTTATATGTGAGAATCCAATAAGTGGGATTTATTCATATCTCCCTAGACACTTGTTTTAAGTCTGATTTGTGAGGACCTTACGAATATCAGAGATACAGAAGCAGTTTTAAGTTCCCCTTTTTAGATGCACCTCTAGTGTCTATGGAGCCTGAGTTTAGATGTGTCGTCTGCACTGGGTTGAGTGAGCTGATGGCCGGGATTCCTGAAACTTCATGAGATATTGACTTTCATTTCCTTGTCTGACAGTCACAAGTCAAACGAATTTTCAATATTGATTCCTAATACATATGCAGGGTTCTTTGTGTATGCTCCTCTGAGCCCGACAACCCTATTCTCTTGCCCCGGGCATTGCAATTCTTGTGTCCTAACCTCTGGCATATATTTCTGTGTAGTCTCCCCCAGTTTTCCGGTTTGATGAGCTAGCTTTAGAATCCTTGTTAGCTTCTGCAACCTATGCTGTCTTCATTTCTTCCTTTCTCTGGGTCCTTTTTATTTCTTTCACTCTTAAATACACACACAGACACAGACACACACAGACACACACACACAGAATCTGTTAGTTTTGTTCAGTTCAGGTTAATGTTGTATTTATTAAAAATTAGCATCCCTTTGAGGTTGGCTTACCCTGCCATGCTGCAGCTTTTCTGATGCTGAGGAAAGCCCCTCCCTCCCCCCTTTGGCTCTACTTGTATGAGAGTAGGTGACTATTTGATGTCCTGAAGTTAATCTTACTTAAAGCAGTGGCCTAGTAGGAAGGTGCTTCTCTCACATTGCCCTACGCTGTCGCTGTCTGTCTTGCAGTGTCATCTCCTGGGCTTTTTCCTGCTTACTTCCAACTAGATGCGTGTCTGTTCTCTTTCACTTCCTCAAGCTCCCAGATCAACACTTTTGATCTGCTTCCATGGTCAGACTCATAGAGAGATATGAGTCTAAAAACTTCCATTCATTCTCCAGGACTCCTAAGTCAGAAGGCCACAAGGGAATGAGAGATATCACCAGCTTAATCACTCATTGCTTCAGTAGGAAAAGCCATGAAGGAATGACCTTCCTCCTTATTTTTGTTGTGACTTAGACTCTATAATCCTACATTTAGAAAATGGACTAAGCCAGGCCTGTCACTATCAATAGTTGGTAGCTGTCAAATTTGTCAAAGGTGCTAGGAAAATTCTACCTAAGAACAATGATGTGTCTCCAAGGAGTCATATCTACTGGTTAGCTGCCTCCTACCCACCCCCTTTTCTTCTTTTCCAGCCCTGGGCACTGTGCATTTAGGGAAATTAAACACGTTGAGTCTGCTCTCAGTCTCAGAGTACATGTGACCAGAAGGCAAATATCTCTAGTGGGCTGAGCTTTCCAGCTCCAGGTGAGGATCCAAAAGAGCTCCCCAAATTCAAGTCCAACACAAAGTTCCTAACAAAGAATAGCATCACCTGTTGTGGCTTAAGACTCTCCGTTGTACTTTCTTCATCTCTTCACCTTTTCCCTTCTTTCTGCAGTGTTCCATGCACTTCCCTGCCCCCAGTCTGCAAACTGTCTGTCATACTTGTTTGTCAGTTTTCTTCCTGTCTGCCCCAGACAGTCAGACCAACGTGACCAGATACTGCTGAGAAAGCAGAAACTACCCATAGGGAAGATGCTGGGATTTTACATGACAAGATATTCAGTCTGGAACTACTTACTATAGCACTGACATCATCCAGGTGACAGTTGCCTTCATTCATCCACAGGTGGGATTCCAAATGAGTCAGCAAGGACAGGAATTCCTTTTCGGAATTACAGTGTGGAAAGGCACTCCGGAGGGCTATCAGGCTATGGGTGAGGAGGAAGAGGCCGATTCCAGCAACAGCAGAGCTTGCTGCATTGGAGACCAGGCTGCTCAGTGCCTGGAAGAGAGACTCTGGTTGGATTCTCATCACAGGCTTGATGCAGGATTCTCTGTTCCTTCTGTCTATTAGACTGCAATGGTGCTTCCTTGGAATTGTTTCTTATATAATCTGTGACCACTTATCAGACAGTTAAGACAGTTAGGAAATGTGTGCCAAGGGGTCCAGTGTGAGCTGCTCCCCACGATCTGGTCTCCTGACTCTCCGCGCCACTGGAAACTCATGCAGGCTCCTCAGCCTGCTGCCAGTATCTCCCTCCACTGGCTTCCCCAATGTTCTTAGAATTGGCCTTCCTTTGAAGACGTCTTAGAATATGGCCTTGGCATCCTCTGGAGAACTCAGAATAGAGTTTTACTTTACATAAAGAAGCAGCTTTAGTGAATAGTGGAAGCAAACTGTAGAGGATAGATACTTTAGAGGATGATCAGGCCTAAGGAAGATAATGTGTACTTTCATTTACTAAACAATTGACAGATGTGAACCTTCTGTGGCCCTCTGTGAAAGGGCAAGAAGTATTGGTGTGTGGGCTTAGTCCCTGTAGATCTTGCTATGCCCATTCCCAAATAACGCAATGAATGGATTTGCAGAGTCTTGAAAACACCATAGGAGGAAGTGGCTAAACCTGTTGCCTCTGCGAGTAGCAGCCTTTTCTACTCCTACCACATAGACACCAAGGTGGAAAAGCCACATCCTGACTCCAGAAGACACAGGGTCCAGCTCCCGCTGGCTGAGAACACACAGCAGCTTTAGGAACTGGCACATGCTCAGACAACAGAAGCTGCAGTATGAACCCAGGAGTTATGGGATGGTTGAAGAGTTTTCAGCGTTGGATGGGGGTCCTAATTCTGGGCTTGGAATCAGGTAATGTAGACTTCCATCTCAGCTGTTACTAATCTCTCTCTGCTTGACCAGGCAATTCCCTTTCCACTCTGGGTTTCAGTTTTTCTCCCATCACATGTGAAAAGTGAACACACTCACCTCAGAAGTAACCTCCTAGCTATGCCAGTGGGCCATCTGAAGAAAATGCTCCCTAACCTGTTCTGAGCTTCCTTTCCCTAAACTGTACAATGGAGGATTGCAACTAGAAGGATTAACTATGAAGTTCTAACTGTTCCAACCCACAGGAGTTTGGTGGTCTTCTTACTTACAAAAGGTTTGGTTGAGATTTTCCCAGAGATAATCGAGATAAATCCAGCAATGGCAAACTGTTCAGGAGAGAGATAAAAGAAAGAGAATTATCCTAAGCCATTTTCAAATCACTGAGGGAAAAAAGGAATGGAAAACTTTTAGGGAGACAACAATGCAGGAATGACATGCCCATATTGCCAAGGAGGCTTCATATCTGCTTGGGATGGTTATATGGATTTTGAAAAATAGGCTGATGGAGGTTGGGTTTATGTTATGAAAGCAACAGTTGCTGCAGACAAAATGTAACATGTTCCTGGCAAATGTTACTGAATTGTTAAATTGAAAGAGGTGGTTAAGGCAGATCAGCAACTTGAGACTTGAGACTTGAAACAATATGCAGACAAAGAAGCCAACAAAAGCACCCAGGAAAGAACAAGAGACAGAAAACTATGGTGCTGAAGCTGTCGGTGTAGGTGGATTGAGTATTACCCAGAGTTTAGGAAGTAAGGATGACAAGATCAGATATGGAATTTTCATTATAACCACCAAGAAGCCAGCATTTGATTCTAGTGGTACTAGGGGCCTAGAAAGCAGAGGGCTGGTGGTCTGGGAAGTTGAAACATTGATTATGCTTGTGGCTTGAGTACTGGGTAGTTACAAATAATAAGAGCCAAGAATGAACCAGCAAGAGCTCACTGAGAAGTGTGGAGGCTGCCACCACTGGTTAGATAGTGAAGTCAAGGACAAACTGTGCTTTGTGGACAGGTGCACATTGCATTTTGTGTAGTTGTGCCCATGCTGGAATCATGGTAACTGAAAAACCTTTGTGTAATTCACCTTCTCAGGATTTTCCCCGTTCCCTCATTTTTACAAGATTCTCTATGGAAGAAAATTGCTCGTTGGTAGGAAGTGTAAGTTGGGCCTAGCTACTCTGAAAATAAGTTTCAGTAGGTCCTTGTCTACGAACCATCATAGGACAAAAAGCCCGTATCTACAGATATCCAAGATTACCTGGAAGTAGAAGAATCCCTCGGTTTCACACAAGTCTTGTCATTATGGAGATAAATGTCTGCAAAACCTGTGGTATCTGCTAGAGGTCCAAGCTTACTGTTTAATCTGCCTACTCACTCTCTACCTGATTAGTGGATTGCTCATAAAATGGCTAGAATCCATTGGCCTTTTCAAAGTCTCAGAGAGGGCTACGAAAAAGCATCTTCTTGTCTAACAGGATGTGGCGTCAGATTAAAAGTATGCTAATGTTCCCAGTGTGTTGTCTTCTTCTGCCTCCTGTCCTATTCAGACCCCTCCCAAGGTGCTGACTTTTGAATGGAGAAACAGAACATGGGTAAGGACAGGAATGTTGTGCTGGCTTTCTCCCACACCCTTTTCTCTTGAAGATGAAACCATTCTGCATCTGAGTGCCTGCTGTATATTTAGAAAACATATACTCTCTTGGAGATCATACTTTACTTACACACAGGGATCCAACAAATGGATACCCAGACATCAAAGTGGTGGAGACTTCTGGGGTGAAGTAGGCAGAGTAGGAAGCTGCCACCAAAATGCCCCCCAGGCTTCCAATCATCAGGGCACATAGTATCTGGATGGTCTGTAACACACAAGACATGGACTTCTAGAATATGCCTTAAGTAGATGCAAAGGATTGTTTGAATATGCATTGATTCATAAAGATTTTAAAATATGTTATTAATCTCTATATTAAAGGGGAAAGCCCACAAGGAAGAAATAAGAGAAAAATCCAAAATTTTGCTCTTTTATTTTTTGAAAAGCTCATTAAACTCAGGAGATTATTATGTAAACATTGTAATTCTGCAATTACTTCACAAACCATTTCTTTTTTGGAAAAGTCAATGGGAAAAGTTACCTGGACTAGAGCCGAGTTAGGTGAGTATAGAGAAGGAACTTCCTATAGGAGGTCTCAGTATAGACCTTGGCTTCAACTGAGAGTCTTTGAGCATCAAATTGCCAGTGCTGTCAGTCATCTTTTTGACATCATGTGATGTTAAGAATCATTGTGTCTTTTTCACAGTACCAGTTTTCAGCGTTGTTTACATTTGTTCAAGAGTGTCTGCGTCCTAAGTACACATCACATCTTTGTGATGGGTGAGAAACGTGAGGGAATTAAGCTGTCCAAACTTGCCCAAATTTCAAGACTGAAATGTTGTTTGGCCTCTCGTATACTTTTATTCACTGCTGAATATATATTATAATTCATACACAGGCAGAGCAACCAAAACCAGGAGAAGTCATTTATCACCATAATTCCTCATCGAATAACCACAATTCCTCATTGAATACCAATGTACCGAGAGGCAGGCAAGAAGCAAATGAAAGTCAGTCTGTGGTAGAATCTTACACCATACACACACCATGTAAAGACAAGTTCCATGGCAATGGGAAAGAGTATTACTAGAACATGTAATCAAGGATGGGTCCCATCAGGGATAGAGGTTTGAGATTAAATAGATGGAATAAAATAGAAAGAACTCATAAAATAGAAGAGCACTTACATGGAGATAGCCACCTAATATTTAACAAAGATGTCTTCAACAAATGGTGCTGGGGAAACCAGAGATCCCCATCCCTCAGCTCCATAAAACTAATTCAAAATTGATCAACTGTGTTAAGGTAAAGTCTGAAATTTGAAAACTGGTAGAGCCAAATATCAGGAAATACTTCTATACGTAAGGATTTTATGAAAAGGAGCCCGGATAACAATGGGGAAAATTGACAAGATTACATGGGGTGAAAAAATCACTGCCTAGCAACGTAAACAAACACCAGAGTGAAATGACAGTCTGAAAACGAATGCAAAATGAATAAAACTATTGATGACTACATATCCTATGAAGAACCCCAAAAGTTAAATACTAAGAAAAACAAATTAACCAATAAATAGGCTAGTGAATGGAATAAACAATTTCAAAAGAAGATAGCCAACAAATATTTTTAAAAAGTACATTCCACATCCTAATGACTAATTAGAGGAGTGTGAATGAAAACTGATTTCAGATTCCTTCTCATCCGAGGCAAACTGGTTATTTTCCAGAAAACAAATGATAACAGATCTGATGAGGCTGTGAGGAAAGAGGAACTTCCTACTGCTGCTGCTGGAAATGTAAACCCATGCAGCCACCGTGGAAATCGATATGGTGGTTCCTCAAAAAAAACCAAAACCAAATTAGAACCAACATATGACCAAAATGATGAATCCTGGATATTTCCCTGAGGGAGAGGCCTGCACATCCAAGCTCATTGCTATACCATAGCCAAGGCACAGAACCATTTAGATATCCATCAGTAGATAGATGGAAAAAGAAACGTGGTCCTCACATTTAATTTTTATTTAACAATGAAGATGAATAAAATAATGCCATTAATAGTGAAATAGATGGAACTAAGGATCATCATACTAAGAAAACTAAGACTGTTGTCTTCTCTAATAAGCAAAATATACATTTAAATATATCACATATACATGTACATATATACATAGAACATGAGAATAGAAGAAGGAGTGTGAGGGGAGAGGAAATGGTCCAAGGGGTAGGAGATAAGAGAAAACAATGGGAGGAAAAAGACAAATTCCATGCTTTCTTTTATATACCGAATCTATAGCTGTGTACTATATGTAAACACACACACACACACACACACACACACACACACACACACACACAGGATACAAATCAGAAGAAGAATATTTGGAAGAGAAAGAAAGCCAGCAAGAGGGTGGGAAGGAAGGAGGAATACAATCAGCAGGCAAATATGAAATATGTATATATATATATATATATATATATATATACACACACATATAAAATTTTATCTGTCAGTCAGTCTGTCTGTATTTATGTCTATATCCGTTGAAAGCAGTGGTAGTGATATAAGGGCCAAGATCTTTGCATGTGGACCATGAAATAGTCACCTAACAGGATGACATTAGTTTCTGAAGTGGGGATTTGAGAGGTGAGAAGAAAGCTAAACGATCGATCTTAGAGTCCTGAGAAGCAGAGACACTACTGACTTCATTTCAATGACCTGAGGTGCAACAAAAAAGTGAGCCATTTGAGAAAAGACAAGGCGTGAAGAATCCAGTGCTTAAGGTTTAGAAAAGATGTAGTAATGAATTATGCTGGTCTAGCAAAGTGGCTGCAGTAAATTATTTTCTAAGTTTTGTGACTTCCTAGGAGGCTGGCTGGGTTTCCAACGCCAGGCCTGCCTGACCTCCTGCTGGGTAGGAGGCCAGTTAGACAGCTGTTGGTTACCACTGACATGTGTGTGCCACTTACTTTACCTCTACACATATCTTGCTATGCTGGTCAGCATTGTGGTTCAGAGGTTTTGCAGTTGTGTATAACTTTTTGTTTCTCTTCCTTGACGTAAAATTTTCTGGAAATATGGAAGTTAACCAAAGGAAGGGGACTTGAATCATTTGAGTCCCGTTTCCTATGTGTGCAGAGTCTTCAGCAGTAAGAACACTTCCTCAAACCCTCAGAAACAACCAAGAGGCTACATTGTCTATACTGTTTTTGGAGATACTTAGGTTACCTAGCCCAAACATTTGAACGGGGATTTTTAACTCTATTTCAATTAAGTATGTTTTTAAGAGGGTATGATGGTGTTAGGGGACCCTGCATCACAGAAGAAACATTTGGGAAGGTTTCTGAAGGTGGGAAGGAGTAGGGGTTGAGTTTTAACAGGAAATATTCAGAACCCTATGATGAGTAGGGCCTGCCTTTGAGGGATAATGTCTTACAGCTGCTCATGTGGATACAGAGAAACATGTGGATGAAAGCGATCTAGATGGGGCCATCTCAAAATGTTTGAAAAACAAACTCCAAGTAACTTAATCAGGCTAAGTAAAATCATATGGCTAAGTCAGAAATATCCACTAAAGACAATGAGCAGAAACTAATTTCTTAATTATGTCGTGTTCTGGTGGGAAAGCTCAAGAGGCTTTAGTTATTCTAAATGAAAACACTAGGAGAATATAGCTTCCATAAAGCTGCATTTCACATTCTGGTTAGTTGGTGGAATCAGCCAGAAACAAGTCAATGATGCTTCTAGACCCACTACAGCTCTGTAGTTTGGACAGTCTTAATATGCCTCTCCCATGTTCTCCTTCTAAATGAGATAGACTTACCCCAAGAACTGTGGCTTCGTTAGGCACACCAATCATCAAGTCTTCTTTTTGGTATGTGTGTCCAGCTTTCTCTCTTTTGTGGATAACAGTGTCCTTTGGGAGGCAGCCCCACCCAATCCTCTTTAAGCCAAGCATGATGCCAACGAAGCTAGAAGAGACACTGGACATGGTTAGTTCACAGAGTTTGACTGACAGACACCAACAGGCACCAGAGTCTTCAGGGAGTGAAGAAAGAGTTTTCTTTAGATGAGAATTGGTGTGATGACCGTGGCTTGTTTCTTAGATACAAAACTGCATTTGAGTTTCAGGGGAGCATAGGAGAAGTAGACTGCTCGCTTCATGCCATCCACGATAAGCAAGAAACACGCTATTGGGAGAAACTGTAAACATCTCAAGGAACTCCACAGTTTGGAGGTTAGTAATCTAAACAGAATTTGCCTGCAGCCCCGAGCGTGTTCACCCCACGGCCTGTCCTGCAGAGCCTTTTCTTTCGGCTCCCTTTCTCTGCCTTGTGTTACTCTGCCTCCTCTATGTGCGGTCTTACATCACATCCCCCAGGACATCACACTGAAACTACGCATATGCCGTCCAGTCCTTCACTCTTCCTTTTCTGTCCATTAAATTATCGGGAGCGTGCTTTCCTGTCTTACAAAAAGAACACGTCTAATCTAGAATTTGCCCTTTGCTTCTACCAGGTTAGTGACTATCAGTAAAAATGCGTATTTAACTCACATTGAAGTCCAGGCACTGGAATAGCAAAGGTCTTAACCCTTCTAAGTGCCTTACATCCTAGATGTCATTAAGTCCATTTCATATATTAGCGACTCAGGACTAATAAGTTTATTTCATTTCATTAAAGTCACAAAAAGCATTTATCTGCCACATCTCATTTGTTTGATACACTATAGTAAATATACTTAGCGTTAGTCTGTGTTGGCCTGACCTGCAGGTGCATGAGCTATGTCTAACTGGGCTCAGGATATTGCAATATTTTCCTCGATGTGACAGTAATTCTCTTCAGAGTGCCTTTTCTTCCTTCCCAATGTTAACTGTTCCACTCAAGGAACAAACACTGCTCTACCACGTCAACAGTACCAAAATGAACCCCAGAATTTTGTGACTTATGGCACTTTAATGGAAGCTGAATATTTGTTGCATCCTGGAGAAATGTGCTAAAGGGTGTCTCTTTCCAGAACTTCTCTCATGTCAGGAAAGTGGGATTTTGAATTGGTTTGAATTGAATTTGTTGCTAAATACATCAATATAATGCCCTTCAACTTATATTTTTTTTTCTTTTTCTTTTTTGTTTTTCAAGACAGGGTTTCTCTGTATAGCATTGGCTGTCTTGGACTCTGTTCAACTCATCTTAATAACCAGTCTCTCTAGCTCTCATTTCTTTTTTTGTTTTGTTTTGTTTTTTGAAACAGGGTTTCTTCTGTGTAACCTTGAACTCACAGTGATCCGCCTGTCTCTGCCTCCCGGTTTGCTGGGATCACATGTGTGTACCACCATGCCTGGCTTCTAGTTCTCATTTCTTTCCTGGATTTGCCAGGTCTCATATCCAAGAACTATATTGCATGCTTTATTCTAAGCTCCAATTAGGAACGGGATGCCAAGTTTATGTTCCTTAGCCTGTCCACATCGTGTGCATTTATTATCTGCTATTTTAAAATTGACCTCTTAAAAAACATATAACAACAGTTTCAACTAAAAAAATAATGTTGCAGGAATCCAAACATTCCTGACTCCTCAATAATTAATACAAAACCATCAGTTTCAGTATCCTTTATGTTCTTCTATTTCTCATCACTTCTCTCTCTTCTTTATGATTTTACACAAATTATAACACTATACAAATAGTCATTCCATCCATGTAGAAGTCCTTTTCACTGATTTGTCAGTAGACATCTTTGCTAGTTAATATAACAACCTTAAGAATGAAAGCCGAAGGATATAGTCTGACATATACGACAAACATTGGTGAGCCTCAAAAACAAAATGATAGTGAAGTCAATCAGAGAAGGTCAGGTGCTGCATGATTCTATGTATGAGGTACCCAGTTACTCAGTTTTGTAGAAAGTAGCATGGTGGCTGCTAAGGGCTGGGGAAGGTTTGAAGAGCAGCTGTTTAGAGGATATGGTTCCACTTTAGAAAGATGACCCAGTTCTGGAGTTGGATGGTCATGAAGGAGTCACAACATGAATGATTTTGATGTTACCGAATCATATACTTCCAGTGGTTAGAATGCTATAATTAAGTAACTAGATTTTAATTGTAATTAAAAATTCAAATGATAAATTCAAATTATTATGTTTCATTAAGTTGGATGCATATTCATGATCATTTTGATTGCTTCTGTTTTTTTCTTACCAGTCAGTATGAATAATGCTGTAAGAAACATCTGTGCACTTTAAAACACTATGCTAATTTTATGTATTCAGTTATCTACTTACAATAGCATAGAGACAAATTTACAGAATTTAAGCTATTTCACTTAAATTTGGATATATATGGCCATTTTAGGAGGAACTCTACATAATGAAGTTTCTTACATTTTATAGTATGTCTGCTAACTGACACCATCACATCCAAATCCAACAACGGAGAGGATGTTTTGTCCTTCAGCATTCATTATGTGGAGATGAAGTGGAAGTCATCTACAGATTTTGGAAAGGATTCCAAATCATATGAAAGAAGGGGAGTTAGTATGACATGGAAAGGATAGGAGCAACACAAGGACCAAATATATCTGGGCACAGGGTCTTTTCTGAGACTGACACTCAACTAAGGACCATGTATGGATATAACCTAGAACCTCTGCTTGGATGTAGCCTGTAGTAGCTCAGTAACCAATTGGTTCCCATAGTAAGGGGAACAAGGACTATTTCTGACAGGAACTCAATGGCTGGCTCTTTGACCTCCCCACCCCCCAATGGAGGGGCAGTCCTGCTAGGCCACAGAGGAGGGCTTTGCAGCCAGTTCTGGAGATATCTGATAAAACAGGGTCAGAGAAAAGGGGAGGAGGTCCTCCCCTATCAGTGGACTTGGAAAGGGGCAGGGAGGAGATGAGGGAGGGAGGGATTGGGAGGAAATGAGGGAGCAGGATACAGAGTTAACAAAATGTAACTAATAAGAAAAATTTAAAAAAAAATTAAAAAAAAGAAAAGGATTCCAAAACCCCTACTGTTCAGGCAAACACCATTGTACACAAGACTTTTCTGTGTTGCAATATTAGATAAGAACCATCATTTCCAGATTCAACATTTTCTCAAATTCCAGTCTTCCTTGAAAAAAATGTTTTGTAAGACTGCACTGCAACAATGGAGAAATACAGGAAACTCTAGAAAGTCATCACACCAAATCTCGAGTGAAATCTAAGGGTGGTTTCCTTTTTGGCAAGTGAGTAAACTGAAGCCGAAATGGGCGTCTGACTCTCCAGTTTATACAGGTCGTCAACAGAAAAGGCAGGATGACAATCCAGTTCCTGGGCACAATCTCCCCCAGGAGTTCTAATCCAACCCAAGGTTCCTACCTTTGCTCAGGGCCCTATCCTGTGTGCTGTTACTCCTGGGCCAGCTCACTCTGTTCCTGGGAAATGTCAGGCTCAACCTCTCACCAGCTGTCTTCTCCAGAAGTTTCACTGTCTGCTTTTGACATTCAAGCAGTTAGTGCATTTTCCCTGGACGTGTTCATGATTACACAGCATGGGAATTTGTGGTAAATACGAGCAGTTGGCAAATGAAAAGCTGCTCTGCTTCCCCTTTCTGAATTTTGAGGTTTGCAAAAATAGGACAAAATTAAACCATGTCACGGAACAAGAACTGTGGTCCAGTCGACAAGCAGTCCCTGCGTTTCTGTATGGGGTGAAGGAAGCCATTGGCTGCATGAATCTGTCTACTTGTCTTTGAATGAGGGATGGGTACTAGTAATTCGCCATCTGGCTCTTTCAAAATTAATGAGAAAGTTTGGCATTGAGTCTCAGCATCTGCTTTAATACTCTGCTGGGTAGAGTCCTGTTTGTTTTCTAAAGACAGAAAGAAGATGTGGAGTTGAATGGGTGGGGAGGTGGGGAAGATCTGGGGGGAGAAGAAAAGGAAACAGTGATCAGAATATGCTGTAGAAAAGCAAAATGTTATCTTCAATAAAAACATTTTAACAAAAAATAAGTATGTTTCAAAAAACTAAAAAAATAAATTAAAAGCAAAAACAAACAAACAAAAAACAAATCATACCCATTGTCTTGGGCTAAATAAGGATGGTCTATAAAATGACAGAAGGAAGCAGACGAGGAATACTGTAGAGATGGAGAGAAATGGGCACATTCCAATGCCATGGTGGGTGTTCACACAGCTCTAGTGTACTTGAAGCTAAAACTATTGTTAACTTAGATTATCGAGGCCGTAAGAAGTTCTGAGCAGACAAACCACCAATGGCCAGATTTTACGTGTGTTCTAACTGTGACTTTATTGCAAATATGAGCACAAATGAATTTCATGTATATGTTTGTTTTGTTTTAATTTCATATGGTAGCACTCACGCTTTATCTGTAGTAGTGAATCCTATGGTTTCATTATCCACAGTTCACCATGCTTTAAAATAGCCATAAGTAACTGTATAATCAAATAATTGTTAGTTTTAAGTTTCCATTTTGTAGAATGTAGTGAAATTGCATCATAAGTGAGGCAGGAAGGAAGGCAGGCAGGCCAACAGACAGACAGACAGACAGACAGACAGACAGACAGAATGAAAATTCACATTAAACATGGCATATTATAACTGTTCTATGTATGTATAGAAGAAAACCTAGGGTATGTAGGACTGAGAGCCATGAAGTTGGGAACTCCCACTGCTCATTTTGACATATATCTTTTTAGAACCAGGTTGGGGAGGAAATAAGCCCAAAAGCCCAATGTATCTTAAGTATCTAACAAACCTAAACTTACAGAATGGGAGTTTTTCTAATAATATGCATAAGATAAGGCAACTGTATAAATATAGCCAAGTGTTTCCTCTACTTGACTTTAGTGACTTCCCAACGGAAGCCCAGCCAGCCCCTGGGTGTTGTTTCAATGAGGCCACTGACCATTTCTCATTTGGAGGTTGTCAAATCATGACACCAATAAAATTTTTAAAATTTTATTGTGCCTCAGTTTACTCCAAAAGTGTGCCTGACAAGTCACCTTCCAGTGGAAGGCCACATATTGAAGAATATTTGGGCAGCACAAATTGGATTTGTTGGGGGAAAAAAATGAAAGGACACAAGTTAGGGGGTAAGGATGGATTTTGGAAGAGTTTGAGGGACATGAATATGATCAAAACACATTGTCTGAAATTCTCAAAAAATAATAAAATATGGGAAAAGAAAGATGCTTCAGATTTCATACCAACTGCAGACTAAAAGCTAGTCCTCTGCATAGCAAAAATGAGTTCTTTGAAACAAATATATTGTCCAAAGTTTATTTCTCAGCTTCAGCAGGTTGAACAGAGTGCAGTGAGATTGAAAGCTAAAACAACATAAATCTATTTACATTTTTCTACATGTGGACATCCAGTTAGACCAGCACCATTAGTTGAAGATGCTATCTTCGTTCCATTGTATGGTTTTGGCTTCTTTCTCAAAAATCAGGTGTCCATAAGTGTGTGGGTTTATTTCTGGGTCTTCTGTTCAATTCCATTGATCCACAGGTCTGTTTCTATGCCAGTAACATGCAGTTTTTATTATTGTTGCTCTGTAGTACAGCTTGAGATCAGGGATGGAGATGCCTCCAGATGATCTGTTATTGTACGGGATTGTTTTAGCAATTCTGGGTTGTTGATTTTTTGTTTTGTTTTGTTTTCATATGAAATTGAGAATTGTTCTTTCAAATTCTGTAAAAAATTGTGTTGGTATTTTGATGGGAATTGCACTGAATCTGTAGATTGCTTTTTGTAGGATGGCCATTTTCACTATATTCATTCTACTGATCCATGAGCATGGGAGATCTCTCCATCTTCAGATACCTTGTTCAACTTCTTCAGAGACTTGAAAGTTTTTTTTTTTTTTTTTTTTTCTCAAACAGGTCTTTCACTTGCTTGGTTAGATTCACACCAAGATACTTTATGTTATTTGTGGCTATTGTGAAGGGTGTAGTTCCCCTAATTTCTTTCTCAGCCCTTTTGTCTTTTGTATACAGGAAGGCCACTGATTATTTTTTTTAATTAATTTTGTATCCAGCCACTTTGCTGAAGGTGTTTATCAGCTGAAGGAGTTCTCTAGTTGAATTTTGGGGGCCACTTATGTATACTATCATATCACCTGAAAATGGTGATACTTTGACTTCTTTTTTTCTGGTTTGTATTCCCTTGATCTCCTTTTGTTGTCTTATTGCTCTAGCTAGGATTTCAAGAACTATGTTGAAGAGATACAGAGAGAGAGTGGGCAGCCTTGCCTTATCCCTGATTTCAGTGGGATTGATTTAAGTTTCTCTCTGTTTAGTTTGATGTTGTATATAGGCTTGCTGTATATTGCCTTTACTATGTTTATGTGCCTTGTATCCCTGATCTCTCCAAAACTTTAAATATGAACGGGTGTTGGATTTTGTCAAATACTTTCTTGGCATCTAAGGAGATGATCATGTGGTTTTTCTCCTTCAGTTTATATGATGGATTACATTGATTAATTTCTGTATTTTTAACCACCCCTGCATGCCTGGGATGAAGCTTACTTGGTCATGGTGGATGATATCTTTGATGTGTTCTTGGATTTGGTTTGCAAGTATTTTATTGAGTATTTTTGCATCAATGTTCATAAGAAAGATTGGTCTGAAGTTCTCTTTTTGTTGGATCTTTGTATGGTTTAGTTATCAGGTGAGTGTGGCCTCATTGAATGAGTTTGGTAATGATCCTTCTGTTTCTATTTTGTGGAATAGTTTGAAGAGTATTGGAGTTACCTCTTCTTTGAAGGTCTGCACAAAACTAAAGTCTAAGTGGACCAAAGACCTCAACATAATACCTGTTAGAAGAAAAAGTGGGGAAGAGCCTTAACTCATTGGCAAAGGAGACAACTTCCTGAACAGACCACCAACACCACAGGCTCTAAGATCAACACTCAATAAATGGAACCTCATGAAACTGAAAAGCTTCTGTAAAGCAAAGGACATGGTCATCAGAACAAAATGACATCCTGCAGACTGGGAAAGGATCTTCACCAACCCTATATCTGACAGAGGGCCAATATCCAGAATATATAAAGAATTCAAGAAGTTAAAAAAGCAACAAATCAAGTAATCCAATTTCATAGTGGAGTACAGAGCTAAACAGAATTCTCAATAGAGGAACATCGAATGACTGAGAAACATTTAAAGAAATGCTCAACATCCTAAGTCATCAGGGAAATATAAATCAAAATGACCCTGAATTGTCACCATACACCTATCAGAATGGCTAAGATCAAAAACTCAAGTGACAACACATGCTGGAGAGGATTTAGAGAAAGGGGAACCCTTCTCCATTGCTGGTGGGAATGTAAACTGGTACAACCACTTTGGAAATCAATTTCTGGTGATTTCTCAGACAATTAGGAGTAGTGCTACCTCAAGATCCAGCTATACCACACCTAAGCATAAATCCAAAATATACTCAAGTATACAACAAGGACATTTGCTCAACCATGTTTGTAGCAACTTTATTCATAATAGCCAGAATCTGGAAACAACCAAGATGTCCCTCACCTGAAGAATGGGTACAGAAATTATGGTACATTTACACAATGGAATACTATTCAGCAATTAAAAACAAGGAAATCATGAAATTTGCAGACAAATGGATGGAACTAGAAAAGATCATCCTGAGTGACGTAACCCAGAAGCAGAAAGTCATACATGGTATAGATTCACTTATGAGTGGATATTAGACTTAAAATTTAGGATAAACATACCAAAATCTGTACACCTAAAGAAGCTAAGCAAGAAGGAGGACCCTAGGGAAGATATTCAATCCCTATTCAAAAAAAGCAAACAAGATAGATATCAGAAGTGGAAGAAAACAGGGAACACAACAGGAGCCTACCACAGAGGGCCTCTGAAAGATTCTACCCAGCAGTGTATTGAAGCAGATGCTGAGACTCATAACCAACCTTTGGGCAGAGTGCACGGAATCTTATGAAAGAAGGGGGAGATAAAAAGACCTGGAGGGGACAAGAGCTCCACAAGGGGACCAAAAGAACCAAAAAAATCTGGTCCCAGGGGTCTTTTCTGAGACTGATTCTTCAACCAACGACCATTTGTGGAGATAACCTAGAACCCTTGTACAGATGTAGTCCACGGCAGATCAGTCTCCCATTGAGTTCCCTACTAAGAGGATCAAGGGCTGTCTCTGACATGAACTCAGTGGCTGGCTCTTTGATCACCTCCCACTGAGGGGGGACACCCTTACCAGGCCACAGAGGAAGACAATGCAGCCAGTCCTGATGAGACCTGATAGGCTAGAGTCACATAGAAGTGAGGAGGACCTCCTCTCTCAGTGGACTAGGGGAGGGGCATAGGAAGAGAAGAGGGAGGACAGGTAGGATTGGGAGGAGATGAATGAGGGGACTACAGCTGGGATGCAAAATGAATAAATTGTAATAAATAAAAATATATAATTTATATTTTAAAAAGAAAGAAAATAATAGTCACTGAGGTACATTTGGATGTCATTGTTTTGGAAG